GTAAGTTAAATAAATTCCATCTTGTTTAAGGAACCAATACGCTTCCTGTGCAGCTCAGACTCCATCGCCAAAACTCCCACCTGTCTGTATCCAATTTGCCACCACCCGGCCGCACCACCGTGACCAACACCGCGAACTTGGCTTGCCAGCTCCGTGTTGCTTGACAGCCTTCTGGAAGAAAGTGCCAACAAACCATTTTCCAGCTTTGAATTCCAGGGGGGTGAGATAGGGGGTGATGTGAAGTATGCTATATCTGAGTCCAAAATATGCACACATGCATATGTAAGGAGAACAGTGCAGTGGTAAGGAGAACAGTGCAGTGTGTAAAGAAAATTTGACAAGGCAGACCACTGTTAACATTGATAAATTGAACTTCCATTTTAGTCCAAATAATTTCTTATGGGCCTGTTAAATTAAACCTTCTTGGAAGTCCTATCACCATCCTTGGTATCAGGTAAAGAAGTTGATGGTAGTGGCATCTACTTTTCTTTCCTAATATATCATTTATTGGAGCAGTTATATATGATGTAGAACATCTGTGCTCAATTCTTTACACTTCTGACTGAGGGGCTTCAAATCTACATCCCCACTGAAGAAAGCCCTAACCATGAACCACAGTTTTGGCATTTTATACATAGGCAGTATTTGAAGCAGAGACCAGAACCCTCACTTAAGTACCTTAACCACTAGGCTACAAAATTATGGGTTTTTTTTCTTGAATATACACTGTCCCTCTGATCCAACAAATGTTAAATTCTTTTCCACACAAAAAAGAAGCAGCTTCAGCAGGTGAGATGGAGAGTGAGGTCCTATAATTCAGGTGAGAAAAGCATTTTCTTTGGAGGTGGGAGATATGGGTAGAAGAAGAGGTTGCACTTTTCTGGGTGAGTGCTTTAGTATAACAGAAAGTAGCGTAACAGGGCATAACATAACAGAGAGGGCTTTAGTGTAACAGCCAGTTACTAGGAAGGGAGATTGTAGCCAAGACATCTTGCAGCAAGCTTGGCGTCAAGGAGTTGCAGGTCAGAATAATCTAGCTAAACAGACTGCAGGACCTAGCCTGCAGTGCTGGGCTGCTGATTAGAGGGCTAGCAGTACCTGGGCCTAGACTGTTCTCACTGGTGGCAGATGACAGAACAAGGAGCAAAGCCTCAAGTAGCAGCAAGGGAAATTTAAGTTAGATATTGGGAAAACCTTTTTCATGAGAAGGGTAGTTACACACTGGAACAGGCTACCCAGAGAGGTTGTGGGATTCCTATCCATGGAGGTTTTTAAGACCCTGGTCCACAAAGCCTTGGCTGAGATTATCTAGTTGGGCATGGTCCTACTTTGAGCAGAAGGTTGGACTAGATGACCTCCTGAGGTCCCTTCCAACCCTATGAACAGAAATCTGGGTCAGGTGACTGGGAGCAGGCAGGGCTTTGCTCCATATAAGTCCAACCTCTGGGCTGGAGTAGGCTGTCTATGCCTGCAGGCTAAGGAGCAGTAGACAGAGTGGACTGCCAGAAACAAGGTATCCTGTGGGCTGGGGAAACAAACTCCCTAAAGGAGTTCAGATTTGAGTTGCAACTGAATAGCTGGTGCTTTTTGCTATAGTTATATGTCCTTTGGAGTTTGGTTCTAACCCGAGGACCAGATTGTGGCTACGTGGGAGTTCTGGAAGCCATGTAGCAGGGTGCTGGGGGCAGAGGTGCTCTGGATATTGAGACCTGCTCTGGGGTGGGAATGTGAAGGGCTGAGGCCCAGAAACTAAGGCTGAGGGGCGCAGTTAGAGAAACAGGACTAAAGCTAGGGAGGCTGAAGAAATGGAGGCTATGGGGGGAGCATTAAAGAAGCTACTCCTGGCCTCTAGAGGCCTCATCCCCAGTATATTACTGAAAACGTCAAAGTTGTGGCAGCAGAGAGACACGAGGGGTGCCTATGCATAAGCACTGAGGCTGCTTCTACATACTCAGATTTCAGCAATTGCTGCATTCCAGCAGTGTCCTGTGTCTCCTGTATCAGTGTCCCTGTACTTAAAAATGGTAGCAGCTATTGAAGAAGCTTTAGTTCAAGTGGCCCCACCACCATTTTGAAGTGTGGGGGTGCTGACACAAGAGGGGCTTACAGTGGGGGCAGTGGAGCACCTCATCTTTGATTTGAGCATATGAGGCAGCAGGGGGGCAGGCAGCTGCTGTGACTCTGGACTCCAAACCCAAGTTGGGGTCCTGACTGCAGCTGCTGCCTCTCCCACCATCTCTGCACCCCCGTCTCTCTTTCTTTTTTTTCTTTCCTCCCATTCCCACTTCCCCCATGTATTCCCCCGACAACCTCTTCCTTTCCCCTCCCCTCCCCTCCCCTCCCATTTACCTCTGCCCTGGTGCCAGCAGTCTCTGGCTGCGCTGCAGCAATGGGTACAGCATGCAGCCCAGCCCAGCTCTCTAGCAGCAGCACAGAACCATCACCACTGTTACAGGGTTGGCTGGGGCAAGAGTGGAGTCTGCTCCACCCTGCTGGCACCAGAGCGAAGATGGACAGGGGTTAGGAGGACAAAGGCTGTGGTGGTGGAGAGAAGAGACAGAGGCCTGATGGTGGGAGGCCTGAGGAGGCAGTGGGGAAGGGATAACGGAAGGATAAGCATTTGGGGAGGTGGGGGGGAGTAGGCAGCAGGGCGACAGCAGTGTGTACCCCCTAACACAGTGGCTCCCTACCTTTTTTTCCTGTGACCCTAAATCTGGGTCATGACCCCCACCCTCACCCCCGACTTGTTGATGCCTAGCAGTACCAGCAGAGCCTAGTCCAGGCCAGGATTGCAGGGGGCAGCAGTGGTGGGAGCCGTGCGGACTCTGTGCCAGGAGAGCCCCGCAGGCAGAAAAAGTGGAGTGAGCAGAGGACCTCCTCTGACCCTGATTTGGGTCACAACCTGAGGTTGGGTGCCACTACCCTAATACTTCCCCATTACTGCCTCCCTGCAGCCTGCCCCCCGCCACTACTTTTCCCAATGCTGTGCTGGTGGACACACATTTTAGATATTTCTTCAAAAATCACATTCTATACATGGACATTTATAACAAACACTTTTTCTGTGTATAGAATCCAGTTATTGGGATTTAGAGTTGTCTTGGATTCAGGTAAATATGGCACTTGAATGTGCCCTATTGATTACCAGTAAATGCCATAATACCTGTCTTTCTCTCTCTGAAAAGAATTGCAAAATTTAGAAAATGGTAAACCTATGCACAAATCTCAACATACTCAACATAGAACTTGGAAAGATATAATCATTTCAGAGAAATCATACCTTCAGAGTACTTTACATGATTGCAGCATATTTTGATTTTTATCGCAGAGCGAGCTTGGAGCACAATGTTATGAAACAATGATCTTTCAGTGGGAACTAATATCCTCTTTTACACAGATTAGAAAACAGAAATGGATTTCTAATAAGATAGTTATCAAATGTTGCTATTTCTATTCTTTTTATATCAGATTGCTTTTCTCCTTTGCTAAAGCCTATCCAGATTGACACAGTAGGATCACTAATGCACTTAGCATTAAACATTCTTGAGTTTAAAGCACATAAATTTCTATCCCTAATATTTTGATTGTATGTAATATAACTTTTCTCATTAGCCACATTCATTTCTAATAACAGTCTGAATCCCATAATAATGGGTGCCTGTACACAAGCATGGAGGCTGCTCTGATGCGCTGTAATTACAGTGTGTTAGAGCAGACTCAATCAAGTCTGCTGGAGCATGGTAATTACCATGCTTCAGCAGCCTCCTGTATCTTGTGTATCAGTGTCCTCAAGGAGCTTCCCCAGGATTAAGAGGGTAGGAATGAGGCCACAGAACCACGTCACTCAGTTTCAGCTTTTCCCTCAAGAAAACTATTCTTGATTTGGGTGGTCTATTAGAGACAGAATTCAAGTGACAGTTTCCCTTAAGAATGTTAATACAGAAAATAGTGCCTTTTTTAGAATATTAGCTTGCCCAGCTTTGGGGTCTGTGACAAGAGCCCTAGGAGCCTAAGAGTTACTGCCACAAGGGTTAAAGCCTGGAAAATTGGAGGGTTTGGCTCTAACTCCACATTTTTTACTTGGCTGTGACTATTCTAAAGGAGATTTGTATATCTTTTCCCCCCATCTCCTTATGTGAGTATATCTTACTTGGCTGTGACTACTCTAATGGAGAGTTGTATATCTCCATTAGTCCAGAACACCTGAGAACCATGGATTAGCTAGTTTTTGCTTCAAGGCTCAATTTCATTTAAATTCTTTGAGAATATAACATCTCTACTGTTTAAATGTTTCCCTCTTGCAGATTTTTTTGTCAGCTTGTTGCGAGATTTGCATTTTTCAGAATTTTGGAATATCCTGGAGAATTAAATTATTGCTTTTTTTTAGTTCTTCTGCTGAGTCATCCTGAAAGGATATAGCATACAGTGAGGATCAACTTTAAGTGAAAGAATCTGTGTGATGGGGAAGAGGAATGATTAGTGGTGTGGCCAAATAGGTGGTTACCAGAAGGTTTTGGTGAGCAATTTGGAGAAGCACTCAACAAGCTACCATAACTTCCTCCTAACACTTTCCTGCAGGGGACCATCTACTCAAATATTTGTAAAGAGAAGATGGAAGAATAAAGCCATTAGTGACAACCTTAAAAGAAACAATTAAGTCATGAACTAAAGGAAGCACTGCTTTGTTTTTTTTAAAGAAAAACAATACTTCCTTTAAAAATACAAAACAAAAAAAGAAAACTATAACATTTAAAGCAGAAAGTAGCTAAATTCATTTATAGAATCATAGAATCATAGAAGTAGGGTTGGAAGGGACCTTATAGATCTTCAAGTCTGACCCCCTGCCAGGACAGGAGAAAACCTGGGACCTGGTGACAGTCTATGGGATCTGGTGACAGTCTATAAACTCACTAGGGGGGACCAGAAGGGTTTGGGTGAGACCTTGTTTCCCCTAGCGCCCCCTGGAATAACAAGGAATAATGGCCACAAGTTGTTGGAGAGTAGGTTTAGATTAAACATCCGTAAGCACTACTTCACAGTTAGGGCGGCTAGGATCTGGAACCAACTTCCAAGGGAAGTGGTGCTGGCTCCTACCCTGGGGGTCTTTAAGAGGAGGCTTGATGCCTACCTAGCTGGGATCATTTGAACCCAGTTTTTTTATATCTTTCCTCTTTATAGCACTAAATAATATTAATATGAAATGTATACAATTTTGAAGTCTTTTTTGATTTAAAAACAACAATATGGGGAAGATAGTTTATATCGGATATTCTATGTAATGTTGGTGTCTGGAAGGTATGTAAGCAGACAATGACTAATCTCACTGAAGGTGATGAGCGTTCTAGTTTTCTTTAATTCAGGCTAAATGACGAAGAAACTAAATGTCTATTTGTTTAATGACAGCTGAAACAATGAAGCCTACCATTCCAGGCATAGCCCAGGGTGGCAAGCTCTGAATTGAAGTTTAGCCATGTGACTCAAGGCATTTCTCTGGAGACTACCCATAAGTATAGGGGTTGGAGCATTGACTTTCAGCCTTGCTACACTTTACACTATGAGCCACATATGTTGATCGCTGTTCGTGTTAGCTTGAGTTGTTAACAGTCACATTTCAGAGCAGCAGGGACCTGGATGACTGAAACATAAGAATTCCTCCCTCCGCCGCCAACCCCAGGGCTCCCTGCCTTCACCTCAGAGGTTCTCCTCACCCAGAGGCATTGCTTTCTTCTGGCTGCCCATGCTGTCTGTCTGAGGAACAGGTAGGAAAGGGTTAATCTACCTGCCTGGCTGCTGCTGCTGTAGGTTAACCCTTCCCTAACTGTTCCCCCAGGACAGATAGCACAGGAAGCCACAAGTAAGTGGGGGGAGGGGGAAGGAGGACTGAGCAGGCATTTGGGGTGCTTGGGAGGATGAGGAGCTGTAGGCTTAATCCAGGCCAACAAAGGAGGTGTGGGTAGGTGAGGCATTCACACTATGGTGTTGCCTAGGTTAACAACACCTTCATGCAACAAGAACTGGCTAGCAGGAATCAGAAATAATCCATCCCTGGAGTGGTGTAACTTTGAGCCACCTTTATGAGTGCTTAAAACCCAGATTCAAGTGTTTGTGTGGATACCTTTAAGAGTGCTATGTATAAGTTGTTACATTTGCCCCAGGATTGCAGAAGGGAAGGGCACAACTATAGGCAAGGTACAGCTCCGCAAATAAACAAACTTCATTGTTCTATAAGTTTAATTCCTTAACCTTTCAAGAACAACACATGGTACCAGGAGTAGGGTGCAAAGAAAGAAAAAAAAATGGAGCAGCTCAGAATTCCAGAGGAGTTAAGCTGTCCAGCAATGCAGCAGGAAACTGGAAGGAATCTTAATCGGAGCTTCACCATATATATCTACAGAAAAGGAAGATCCACTCAAGGTAGCTATTTTTTAACATATAACAGAAGCTCTATTTCATTATAATGGCCTATGACTATCAGAAGCAAAACAGAAAAGCTATGGTACAGTAATAAAAAAAAAAAGAGGAATATCATATACTCAAACACAATGAAGCCTTTGAATGGTATAATTTCCACGAGAGATGGCAAAAAGAATGTGAGACAATAGAGGAGTTTGTCAAAGACCTCAGACTACTGAAGCAGGCATGCAGCTTTGGTGACCTAAAGAATTCATAATCAGAGACCAGATAGTATTGAGTGTAAGGGATTATTCAAGCCTCAGGAAAAGACTGCTAGAAGATCCTCAGCTTAATTTGGAAAACGCAGTTAGAATGTGCCAAGCAGCTGAGATAACAAATACCAGGCTGCAAAAGCTGGAGGGAAAAAAAACCAGAACAAACTGAACTAGACAGGATTAAAAGACTGCAAAAACCTAAGGCAACATATAAACAATTCAGTGAGGTCCTCCTTTCTGTAACAGGGAAGCAGAGGCCAAAGAGAATTGCTTGAAGGAAAAAAAGCTCAGCTGCAGATGCTGTGGGGGTTACCACAAACCCATGCAATACCCTGCATGTGATAAGCACTGCAACAAATGCAAAAGATTCAATTACTTTGCAAGAGTTTGCAGAAAGGAGCAGAATGCAACACACAAGAAATAGCAGGTGCATCTTCTGTGCAGTGAGTAAAAGGAAGAATTTCTAATTGACACAATGCATGAAGTTCATTCCTGTGAGGATTGGACAATCGCCCTGGATACCAATGGATTAATGGTAACTTTTTAAATAAGATACAGGGGCACAGCTCAATGTAGTACCAGAATACATTATTCAAAAAATGAAAAACTAAACCTGTGTATTATGAGAATAAGAAAGTGAGACTTAGTGCATATAATGGGAACATGATTTAAACCAAGTGTGTTTTTGTGCCCTACATGTTAGACACATGGGTAATATAGTAAATGTTTTGTTTGTAACAGTTCCAGGAAAGGTAGTGCCAATTATTGGGTTGTGAACATGTAAAACTCTGTTTGATTAAGAGAATGCATGTCACTGAGAGACAAGAGAGCAGGAACAGGAGAAGAGTTTTGCTATGTGTTTCAAGGCGTAGGGAAACTGTCAACTGAGTACGAGATAGAATTAAGAGAACCAAATAGTCCCATCATACATATTCCAAGAAATGTTCCCCTTGTACTAAGGGAGAAACTGAAAAAGGAATTAGATTAGTTAACATGGACAAAATAGAAATAGTAGAGCAACCAGCTGCTTGGGTTCATTCACTGGTCATAAAAAAAAAAGCGGGATCCTTGAGATTTCATTTGGATCCTAAGCAAATGAACAAGTGCATCAAAAGGAAGCATTTTCCCATTCCCACCAGGGAAAAAGCTTTTGGCAACATGGCAGAAGCTAAATATTTCTCCACTCTGGATGCCTCTTCTGGATTTTGTCATATTCTTTTTCTAGGGGAACTTGCCTAGTTTTATGAACCTTCAGTGTGCCCTTGGGAAGACTTTGGGTTTTTTGTTTGTTTTTCTTTTGTAGGCTTCCTTTTGGACTGTTCTGCATCTGAAGTATGTCACAAAAAGGTGCAACAAATTTTTGAAGGTCTTGATGGAAGCATGGTTTATATTGATGATATATTAGTCTGGGAAAATACTATGGCAGAACATGACTTGAGGCTAAGAAGGGCACTAGAAGGAGCTTGCAGAGCAGGTTTGAAATTGAACAAACAAAAATGCAGATTCAGGGTCAAAGAAATAACATATCTGGGATAAAGGCTCTCTGAGAGAGGAGGGCAAATCGATCCTCAAAGCCCAGGGATTAAAGCCATCACAAACATGCCACCCCCTACAGATGATAAGAGGAGTGCAAAGATTACTGGGAATGATCCTTTTTGTAGGGAAATATCTACCTAACTTAGAGCAGACCAAACACCTTAAATCACTCCTGCAAAAGAATGCTCAGTGAACATTAACATGAAGCTGAATTTAAAAACTTGAAGGAAAAAGTAATGAAAGCTCCAATACTAAAATACTATGACCCTAAAAACCTATTAACCTGTCAACAGGTGCTTCTAAAGAAGGGATTGAAGCAGCTTTGCTTCAAAAGCATGGAGATAGCTGGAGACCAGTAGGGCACTCTAAGTCAGAGAGTCTATATGCAGAAATTGAGACAAAGTTTAGCTGTAGTGGATGACTGTAAGAAATTTCACTTATTCATCTGTGGGAGGCCTGTGATAACTGAAACTGCTATAGTTACCAAAGGTTTATGATCAAAGAAAGGGTTATCAGATATGCCAGCCAGATTACAGAGACTTTTCTTTCAATTGTATGATCTGGACATACAGTACATGCCAGGAAACATCTATTTATTGCAGATGCATTGTCCAGAGCATATGACACAACAGAAAATGACAGAATTCCAGACTCAGACATGGTACAAGTTAATCTAATTAAGAGTGATTCCTATCACAAATAAAATGTGGGCACTAATTGCAGAAGCTACTGCTCAGGACACCACACTGGAAAAAGTGATGATAGCTATTTGTGCTGTTTAGCCTGGAAAACATATACCTAGCCCCTACTCTCAGTTCAAGGAAGAGCTGTCAGTACTGGATGGCATATTGTTCAAAGGCTCATGACTTGTTTTTCTTTAGCACTGCTGGAACAACCTGTTAAACAGAATATATGAGGGGTATCTAGGCATTGAAAAATGCACAAGGAGAGCAAGAGGTGCTATATATTAGCCCAACATAAATAATGAGATAGAAGATGCTGTAAAGGCTTGTATAACGTGCCTTCAGTACAGATCAGTGCAAAGAAGAGAGCCTGTGATGGTCATGGAGGAGCCCCTAGCTCCATGGTATCAAGTGGGCATTGACTTACACATGTAGGAAAAAAATATGTATTAGTGCTGGGTTATTATTCTCACTATCCTGAAACTGCATTGCTCAAAAATCATGTCATAACTCATATCAAATTGTAGAATCCCATGTCTAGCAAAAATCAAAGTGTGAGAACAGACAATGGACCTCAGTTCAACTGTTTTGAGTTTAAAGAGTGTAAAGAGTTTGCAAACAAATATGGATTCCATCACAACACTTCAGGTCTTAAATACCCACAACCCAATGGTTTGGTGGAAAATGGAGTACAAATAGTGAAGAAATTGTTGAAAACAGCTACAGATGTTGAAAAAGCTACACACCAATGTTTACCTGTCATTCTTAAATTACAGGGCAACACCCATGAAACATAAATTGTCCCCAGAAGAAATGCTGTTTAACAGGAAACTCAAAACCAGGCAGCCAAATCTTGTGGATGATGACCACGAGACTCATGAATGCCGCGTGCCCCCAGGGGCTGGGGGGAGGGGCACGGCAAGCTCCTGCAGATGGCGGCAGTGCTGTTGGCGGTGGGAGCCTGGCAGCAGCAAGCAAGGAGCTCCCACATGCGGTGGTGGTACAGTTGGTGGCAGGAGTGTGGTGGCAGCAAGCGGGGAGCTCCCACAGGTGGTTGTGGCATTGTTGGTAGCAGTGGGGGGTGGTGAGTGCCAACCAACAGTTGGTGACCACCCGCAGACACTGGCAGCAGCGACTAGCAGTAATTGCATACTGCCTGCAGATGCTGCCAGTGGCGTTGGCAGTGGGGGGGAGAGGGGTTGGCAAGTGGGGATCACCCATAGGCACCACTGGCCGTTTTGGTGGTGCCTTTTCACAGGGGGTGCATCGCCATGCTTGGGGTGCACATGCACCCATGTGTACCCCCTATGCATCACCAATGATCAGCATGAAAAACAAGATATGAAAACACTGATTTTTTTTTAACTCAAATAAAAATGGCACTATGATATGGGTTCCAGGGAGTTCCCACAACTACACAAAAAGGATATGGTGCTCCCTTTCGATGGATGAATGTGGAAACAAAAAGCACTAGTTCCCCATCTAATAGCTCCCAGATACTATGAAGCAGTCTTACTGGAAGGACAGGTATTAAGAAAGAACAGGTGATACTTGCATCTTGTGAAGGGGAGAAATGAAGCAGCATCATGAGATTCACCAAAAGAAGTGGAGCTAACAACAAAGTGACAAGAAACTACAGAGATTGAAAATGACCCCTCAAAGTAGAGGCATCTGAACAAGGAAACCAAACAGGAACTGAACAAATAAGGATTTAGAATTCAGAGAAACTTAAAAGATCACTTAAGCTAAGAAAGCCAACAAAAAGACTAATAGAGACCTGGTCCGATTAGCTTGATAATTCAAAATACCTATATTCCCTATTCAAGAAGAAGCCAAAGCCTTCTAGTCATAATGTGACTAGTCATAATGTGAAGAACTAGACGTTGATTCACTCTCTTTTTCTTTGTTTACATTATTTGGTAGCTTAATCAATAAACTGGAGTCTAGATATTATAATACAGTTTATAACCTCTGGTACTACAGACTGCCCCAGCTAGCACACAATGTGAGGACTCCTAATGCCTTCCTCTCCCAAATACCTTTCAGAACAGACAAATGTAACAATTTACAAGAGCACTAGCAGTCCTACACCTGTTGTTGCTTGGAAGTGTTATCTTTATATTAAAGGGGAAAAGCCTGGACTAATTGCCAGGATCAGGGTTGCCAGGATCTGGAATGGGCTTCAAAGGGAGGTGGTGCTTGCCCAATCCTTGGGGCTTTTCAAGAGGAGACTGGACAGACACCTGAGTGGAATCACACAGTCCCAGGTTTGGTGACCCTTTTCTTGCCTGTCAGGGGCAGGGGGTTGGACTGTATGGCCCAATGAGGTCCCTTCTGACCCTAGAATCTATGAATCAATGAATTGCCGGGTTGCACTCTTCTTTGCCTCCATTTTCCTGAGCAGGGACCGGATCAGCCCCCACACTGGGCCCCCCTCAGGCCCCAGGGGAGGTGCACCTAGGCCAAGGGTCAGTGAGGATCTAGTCAGAGAACTTCTGGAGGGACTGGATGTATTTAAATCAGCTGGTCCGGATGATCTCCACCCCAGAGTGCTGAGGGAATTGGCTGAGGTCATTGCGGGACCCCTGG